GTTTCTAATAAGCCTTTATGCACAACAGTCGAGCTTTCAATAAGGCAAAATAAGAACGCCCCTTTAAACAAGGCTACGTGAAAAGACACAAAGAACATAAGCAATGCCAAGCAAACTCTGGTTAACTCATCTTTACTGGGAAAGCATCACACACGCTAGAGTAAAATACTGACGATAACTACCTTCTTCCAGATGTCCCTTATCTTCTAGGAAGCTGAGCTAGCAATAAAGGCATTTAGGTACACCGGCAGGTGCTACAATTGGGAAGATACTGCTACCTCAGAAGCACCGTAAGAGAGGCAGAAATCCATCGAGTCTGTAACTGAGGAGGGCCAGGTCTCCCCTGCTCCTTGATTACCTTGCAATGAAATCTGAAGATCATCGATGCCCGAGGAAGCCTGGTCCTCTCCGCTGGGAAGCACCGTCTCAGATGCCATCCTTCGAGGCAGGGGGTTAGAGCACGTCCATCTCGGTGCACGAAGCGAACTGAAAGGAAAAGCGATAAGGCCCGTCAGTGACCTCGCAAGCTCTGCGTTTCTAGTCAGTGGGCATCGCCAGAAAGCAGCAACCAAAGCCTGCCGAGGAGGCACGGCTTCCTCGTGCGTGCTTTCTGCGCGCTTGAAGCCAACGTGACTCCGCCTTCTTTCAGAATCACAATCGAGATTTTGCCCTGTGACCCATATTCATGCTATCCGGAGCTGCTGGCCCAACTCCAGCAGAAGTAACATCAGAGATCCTACGCGACCGGCCCAAAGGACAGTCACAGCAATTGGCGTCAATACCTTCTGGAGAAAGTAAAGACGACGCCAACCCAGTGCGCAGGCAATTGTGTGAGTGCTCTTGTTAGCCTCCCAGAGCTTCTTTAGACTTCTTATTGAACTGACTCTTCTCTGCGTCACCAAGTGTTGCCACTTACTGGAAACAGTAACTGCTGAGACTGGGGAGCTTGCAACGAGAAACTAAGACAGCTGTTGATATCAAAAATGCCTATCGTGTTATCTCATGTAAAAGCCCTTCCTCGAGGACTTGTTTTACCACCTACACTTTTCTCTCCCTGATGTTACGTTGAGGTTTAAGGAATCCTTGCAGTCAGAGCGAATCGAACTTTGAGACTCTTTACGAGTAAATTGCTTCCTGGGTGGAAATGCCACTGAGCATATTGCGCGCTGAGAAGAAAGCATTGATGTCTCTCATCTTTCTCATCGGAACAAACCTACCCCCACATGGGAAAACACCAACTGTGTCAGGGGATGGGGAGAGGAGTGAATGAAAGGGCAGACGTGTGTAACACTAGTGGTAGACTCCAGAGGTGGAGCATTTGAGTGCCCGCTGTAAAATCATTTACTGCTGCTAAATCATTTACTTCTCCTATAAGAGTCCTTTGAAAGGACTCTTTCAAAGTCAAATGTTAGGAGGGAAAACTGAAAAATAAACAAGCCTAACTGAGGCCTCAGCCACATGCAATCAGACTGAAGGGCCAATAGACCACTTTTTACAAAGCGCACAGTGTAGGAAGGAGACAACGTGACAGCTAGAACAGACTTCAAAACTGTTTCAATCCAGTCTTGTTCCCTCTGCTTATCAGCCCAAAACTCCCTTTTAATCATGTTCCCCGATGAACCACTGTTGCCCAAGATTTTACTTACCAAAAAGCCCTCCTTTACTAATGAATGAACACTTTGTTTTATCCTCTCGCTTAAGAGCATTCAGAATTAACCTGCATTCAATGTTACTATACTGCGTTGATATGATCCCAACAAAAAGAAGTGTTAGCTGCTAAGGCGAGCCCGTGGCCTAACCTCGTGACTGAGAAAGGTGCCGTGGTTCTCAGCTCCCGTGCGAGGAGGCCGACTACCCCTTGGAAGAACCAGGGGCGCAAAGAAAACAAGCTTGTGAGGATGGCACCGGACGCGGCAGTGCTTAACCCGGCTGCCCACGGGGCCCCTAGGGGTCGGAGCGGACCCGGGGGCATCTAACCACATTCACAACGACCCCTTCCCACACTCTGGGCTCCAAAGCTCCAGGTGGAGACAAAGCACTTTCTTGTGTTGAGAAACACAGAACTCCAGAAGGAATTTCCCAAGAAGACTCATGACGGATTCCACATCAAGGCTACGAGGAACACAAGCCCCAAGTGTCTATGTAGCATTTACTGTATGTCGACTGCTCTCGGCACTTCATCCTATTGAACCCTCGCCGTGGCTGCTGCCGCGACTAGGCCTGCCCCATCACTATGCACAACAGAACAGGGCGCCGCCTGGTGGTGGGGCAGCCTCACTAACGTGCTTTTGTTTGAGCTCACTGCTGCCATCACCATGTCAATGCATCTCCTCCAGGGTCTTCCTCGTTTTCGATGCCCCTCTGCTTTACCAAGCATGATGTCCTTTTCCAGGGACTGGTCTCTCCTGACGGCATGTCCAAAGTCTCGCCATCCTGGCTTCTCAGGAGCACTCTGGCTGGACCTCTTCCAAGACAGCCCAGGCTGTCCTGTGGTCAGTCTGTGGTACTTTCAACAGTCTGTGCCGCCACCATACTTCAAATGCATCGTCGTAACGCACTGATTCAAGAATCAAATGCATTTGGTTCGTCAGCTGTCTTCCTGATTCGATGTCCAACTTTTCACATGCAGATGAGGCAACGGAAAATACCATGGCTTGGCTCTCAAAACCAAACTCGCCGCTACTGAGTGGATGATGACTCATAGGGACCTTTTAGGAAAAGACGGAACTGCCCCTTCGAGTGTCCGAGACTGTACGTAATGCTTTGTGGGAACAGAAAGCGCCATCACGCTCCCTTGGAGCAGCGGGTGGTTTTGAACTGCTGATCTTATGGTTAGCAGCCCCATGTGTAACCACTACAGGTCAGGAACACCTTAGTTCGCCCAGCATCGCCCTTGCCTTTCAACACTTAAAAGAGTTCTTGTGCAGCGGATTGGCGAGTGAAGCGCTGCGAACCTCCCCGTTTTTGTGAAGAAACACCACAAATACAAGGGGGCTTCAAACACTTTGTAGAGGAATGAAATGAAATAGAAAATTTCCACACACTTTCTGCAGTCCCCTCATGATACTCATGATGCCGAGAATTTGAATCTAGACAGCCTGTGCTTTGAGAGCTAGCTAAGCATGTACTATATCCTATTGATTCCTTTTGGAGCCTTGGTGGTGTAATGGTTACACGTTGGGCCGCCAACCACAAGGTCAGCAGTTTGAAACCACTCACGGCTCCAAGGGAGAGAAACAGGCTTTTTATTCCCATAGAGCATTCTCGTCACAGCCTCCTCTGACCTGAGCCCAGAAGATCTAGAGGGTGAGTGCCTCTGCCAACCCCTGACAGATCACAGCAGATAGATGGTTCTGGTGAGAAGAACCGGTTTTTGTCTGTTTGTTTTTAAGTAAAGCAAAACTCTAAGCCAAAAACAGACACCAGACTGACAGTAGGAAAGAGACTGGTGGAATTCCAGAGACCACTACCTTAAGGAAACCCAGAACAGTCCTGGAAGCCACGTTCCAGCCAAATCACAGACTACAAAGCAAACCATGTGAAAAATGTGCCTCTCAGAACAATGACAGGAGGCCAGGGGGCTGGCGTTTGGTCCCAAACCAAAGATAAGAGGGCAGGGAGGAAAAGGGAAATGGGACAACAGAAATGGCGAGCCCAGGGGAGCGTGCTGACACACCGCAAGGATTGCAGCCAATGTCCCAGAGCAAACTGTGACTCAACTATTGTTGAAAAACCAACTTTCTATATAAACTTTCACTTCCCTTTTTTTCCCTCACTGCCATCAAGGCAATGCCGACTCACAGGGACCCAACAGGACAGAACTGCCCCTGTGGCTTTCCAAGACTGCAACCCTTTCCAGGAGTCGAAAGCCTGGTCTTTCTCTTGCAATTCACATAGAATATGGGTTGGCAAACTTTCGACGGAAGAGCCAATCCTGTCCCTCACAACAATTTAAAAATAATTCAAGAGCCATAAATCTGTATTTACAATAAGAACAGTGCTCTTGCTTTCATCTTAATCAAATGATAGTGAAACGGAAACACCGAGTTAGGGGGACGTCCTTCAATCCGCGTGCTGTGCAGCTTATATCTCAATAGCCGTACGGTGGTGACAAACATACTCTCCTCACATAAGTAAAACAGTAGAAACATTCGTTGTGCTTGTCAGAAATGTCCAGAAAGTATTCCTAAAAAGCCACTCGGCCCCTTTGTTTTCTCAATATTAGAGGACTGGCTAACAAGCCCAGCCTAATCGCTATGTCTACAGAGAGAAGGAGTCTATTTTATCATCAAAGCTTGGTCAAAAGGTTTATCACATCAGGATTAATTTTACTCAAATACTTCTTAAATCCTCCTACTGCAGTCAGGTTGATTCAGACTCACAGTGATCCTATAGAATCGACTAGAATTGTTCAATACGGTTTACAAGAATGTAAACCTTTATAGAAGCAGGCTGCCTCACCTTTGTCCAGCAGAATGGTTGATAGATGTCCAAACTCCTGACCTTTCTGTGGATAGTCCCATGCTTAACCTACTGTGTCACCAGGCTTCGCCTCTTTCAGATGTTCACGCCAGCACTTCCCGAGTGACCCCTTGCTTGTTTCTCCTTCAGCTACCCCGCATTCCTTTGAGACCCACCTAGAAACACCCACGGATGCCCCCTTTGCCACAGAGCTGGGTGCTGCTCCTGGCAACTGAGTCCTTCACGCTGATCTGTTTACAAACTCAAAGTAGAGAGTGGGTGACTCATTTCCAGTGATTTTCTTTAGTTGTGTTTGTTTTTTGCTTTTAATGGTCCTTTATAACCCTTTCCTGGCTCTATTATTTTTCATTCTTGAGTCAAGGAGCCCCAGGAGCCCCGCGGGTTAGCACTGAGTTGCTAACCACCAGCCTTTCCAGGGAGAAACTCGCTGCCATCAGGCCGGCTCCAAGCACAGCCCGCACCAGCCGGGTAGACTGGCTCTGCAGGCGTCCCAGTGGGTACCTCCGTGCAGGAGCACAAAGCCTCGTCTGTCTCTGCCCAAGGAGAAAAACATAGCTAACAACTTCCATGAAGGTCAACGGCCTTGGGAACCTGGGGGCCGTTCTCCTCTGCCCTGTAGTTAGAATGCCACTCTGAAGTAGAATTGACTTCATGGGCTTGGGTCTTCTTTAACTGATGGAACTCGGGCCAAGTCCCAGCTCCACGTCACTTTTTACAGTCTCGCTCCATGATCTCCTTCCATGCATTTTATTCCCACAATGACACCACAAAATGCCAGCACCATCAAGCCTCTCTGTTCGGTACACACTTGGAAAACAAAAACCCAAAGCCTGCCAGTGAATTCCAATTCATAGCAACCGATATAGGATTTCTCAGACTAGAATCTTAGGAAGTGCAAACAGCCGTATCTTCTTCCGAAGAAGCAGTGGATGGATTTGAACCACAGGCCTTGTGG